CCAATCTCAGCTCTCTGAGTTTCAGAGTGAGACACAGGTGCCACATTGTTGTACATCTCGTTTTAGTGTCCACAAGCACGATCATTTCGAGACAGTCTGGTTACACTTGCATTTTCTAACAAACTTTATATATTTTGATGCAGTGTTATCTGGTGCATATATGTTGACTACATTTTTAATTGTAGTCTTCACCACAATTACTGTCTTTGACCCATGTAATATGATCAATGTATGTGTTCTTTGAACTCTCCTTGGTCTGCTCTTAATACACTGATCCATGGGAACAGTCTTTTATTTTGGCGCATCCAGCTATTAGCACAGTGCCCAACACAGAGGGGCCCATTACATGTGAGAGAAAAGCCAGGATCCTGGAAACGAGGCCAGTAAAGCCCTGCGTGTTCTGGTTCCTGGTAGGATACAAATGCCAGTTGACTCCATTCCCTTCCAAAGACAGACTTTCCTGCAGGAAATTAATAGCCCTCTCGCCATCCCCAAACAGTTACAAGGAAATTCCAGAGGCCTGCCCACACTTTAGAATGGAGGGCGGCTGCCATTGTAAATCTCAGTTGCTACAACTGTGAAGCAGGGACGGCTCCCTGGGCAGTAGGGGTGCACAGCACAGCTTGCACATACTTGGGACATCTGCAGGCCCAGCCCAGGAACCCACCTCCCACGGGAAGCAGCTGGATGGGGGGAGGGGGCACTGCGGAGCAGAGGGAAGACATGGTGCAAACAACCAGGAGAGAAAGAGCACAGCTACAAAGGAAGGGGAAGATAAGGACTTTTAAAGATGATGGTGAAGCTCTTCCAAAAAAGAGTAATGAACACTTCATCTGTGCAGACGGTGTGTGGGGGTTCTCTGTGCCGCTCACACCAGCAATGACAGAGGGGAGGACAGAAGGCAATGGGACAGCTGCCCCCCCACCCCCGGGAGAGCGTGGCAATGCCAAGGGCTCCCCAGAAGCTCCCTGCACCACTTCCTCTGCCTCACAGCCCCTCCAGACTTGAGGGAGCCGTGCAAAGAGCATCCCCCTCCCCAGGTCAGGCACAGTCTGGGATCTGGCTGCCTGCGGAGTTCAGAGGCCCCCTCTTAGCCTCCAGACCAAGCTGCCTGCTGCCTGGTCGAAGTTAGGTGGGTAGACACCGGCCCAGAGCCCACCGAGAGACAGGCTTCCGGAAGGCACTGCCCTGGTCAGGGGAGCGGGAGGGGCTCAGGCGGGACTTATGCACACACACACAGCCAGGGTGAGAGGTCCTCCTGGGGGCTCGCTTGCTTCCCAGGTCTTCGGGGACTCTGCTTTAATGACCCGAGGGGCCCAGGGAGCTGTGAGAGCAGAGCCAGCTGCACTGCCTGGCGGCTGGGGGTCGCAGGGATAAACAAACAACCCAAACGCTCTGTTTCAAAAGTGTGGAAGTGATGCGATGACCACACACAGAGAGCACTCGGGAGACAGATCCAGAGATGACAAAGGCAGGAGGAGACAGGAGACTCGCTTCCATGCGCACGATCATCTGAACCCTACCAGGTCCCAGAAAAACGAGGCGACGCCCATCCCTGTGGAGGCCCCTCTTTCCAGGCAGCGTCTGGGAGCCCGACATGTGTTTCGTTCCCCATGACAACAGCATTAACCACAAGCACTTCCTGAGCCCTCGGTGGGCACCAGGGCTGTGCTGGGCACCATCTCCCCTAGTCCCTGAAAGACGCCCAGGAGGTAGTCCCAGGGTAACCCCATTTTACGGATGTGGAAACAGTGGGGGGGCAGCAACCAGCCTGGGTTCCCATTTCTTCAATGACAGGACCCAGACGTAGGCCTGGGCCTGCTTGTCTTTAGACTCAGGTCCCTGGTCACTAGTGTCTGCGAACAGGTTCTGTGTTTGCCCCAGAGTGTGCTCCCCGGAAGAGCCGCCCCTCCAGTCCTCGGCTAACCTACAGACCCTTGGCGACTCTGCTCGAATTTCAAACTCACTTCACAAAGAAAACTATACTTCTGAACTGCCCGGGAAACGGCATTTCCCCTCTCCTCTCCTGGAGCAAAGTTACATTTGACATTTACAGGTACTGTGTGCCCAGGAAGGACGGACCCAAATTCATTTGTTGTTAAGGGGAGGGAAACCACCAGCGCCCACCCTGGCTTTCAGCACCTCACTGTGTGTTTTCCCCTGGCTGCAAAGAGTAGAATTCTTTCAATAAAAACTTTCCATCTAAAAATAACATAGTGGCAAACTCTGCAATTACATTCCTCACTGGGAGACATCCGCTTTCCCCTCTATTTCCCAAACGCAGAAGGCCCAATTTGCCGGTCTGCTAATGGGTCCCAGCAAAGGCCCAAACGTAGCTTAATGAGCTGGGAAAACGAAGCTGCATAGCTTTGAATCACTAAGTGTTTTTTTTTGTGGGAGTGCTGTGAGTAGCTTTATTTTAAAATCAACTGTATGAGACTCCTTCACCTGTCCTCCTAGAACCACGACCTGATGCTCACAGGCGGTGGCTGGTCCAGTGTTCCTCCTCCAAACTCACCCCCAAATTTCCCCCCTCCCCTCCTTTCCCTTCGCTGTCCCTCACATCCCAGTTACAGGGCACCAGCATGCTTGGCTTGGCTTGGCTTGGCATGGCATGGGACAGCCACTGCGACTTCGACTTATCCGAGAGGCTGCTGAACAGCTCCGGGACACTACCAATGGGGACTCTTATTTTCTTGGCTGGTGGTTTCTGTAAGAGAGGTTGCTGTCTTACACAGTTACCCCATAGGGGAAGTGTGCAGCTAACTGGGGCTGGTATGTAACGTTGGTACAGGGATTTTACACCTAAGTCATTGGGGTTCTTTAAGGAACATGTAAGCCTGTGGGCGATGTGGGGAACAAATGAGAGAATCAATGACCTTTTAGAAAGTGCTGGACAACAATCCAAAGGGACCGTGAGATGGGGAAGGAAGTTTCGTCGTGATGAGGAAGCCGGCTGAGCGACAGCAGAGGGCTGAGACCATCGGACACAGGTGGATGAACAGAGATAGTCGTGGGCACACATCTTGAAGAGCAGGAGGCGCCCAGTGGCCTCCTCAGGTTCGCAGTTACCAAGTCCCTACCAACAAGTGCTAGCCAGACTACAACCTTGGACTCCGGGGGAAGGTGTGCAAAATGACAGGCGATTTTAAGTGAAAAAGCATAACCTACATACCAGTCGGACACGTAATGTATGCAACATCCGAATTACAACCTGAGAAAGGGCCCTGAAAATCCCGACAGACCGTTCCCCTGAAGCTATTTAAGCCACTGTGATCTTTTGCCTTAAGAGTGTCCTCAAGAAGCACATGGGGCCAGAGTCACCAGGGAGGGTATCAGAAACCACGCTAAGGCTGTCTCGTGTCCTGGTAGACACCCCGATGTGTCCTCACATCGAGCACCAGGTACAGTTGTGGTCATCCGACCTGCACCAGGCTACAGAGATCAAGAAATCGTCCCGAGAAGGCCAATCAAACAGTCAAGGGAGAGGCAGTGACAACAGCAACCACGCGCTCAGGGTCTCGGTGTACCCCAGGCACCCTCTGGGGCTTTACCAGCACTGAACCGGTTACTCTCTCTGCCACCCCAGAGGGAGGCACTGCTATGGGCCCCACTGAGTAGATGAGCAAACCAAGGCACTGGGGGCTGCAGTCGCTTGTCTACATGCCAGAGCTGGCAGCATCTGCACCCAGGCCGTGCGGGGCCAGGCCGTGCGGGGCCAGGATCCGGGCTCTCAGCTGCAGGCTGCCTCCGGCCTGGGAAAGACCTGCTGCTCCACTCGGGGTAGAGGGCGGCACACAGGCTGAAGGTAATTTATGCAGCTTAATAAAACCAAGACAAGGCTTGACAGGAAAACCCTGGGCTTTCTCACAAATCGTGGATGTTTAAAGTTAGAATAAAGTGAATTTCAGACAAAAAAGGGAAAACTGCTTGGCACGGCAGGAAGTACATCATAGCATTTTATTTTCCCCAAGGAGAATCGAGACCACACATTCCGACAGACTCAACAAGAGGGGGCAGCGATTGATGGCGCGTTCCTGAGGGGACTGGGCTTGGTCTGAGGCGTTCGACCCTTCCCGGCACAAGGAGTATCCCCGGCCAGTTTGCCGAGAGGCGGGCTGCAGGGCTGAAGAAAGGGGGGCTTCCCTGGGATGTGAAGCCTTTGCTGGTCCCCACTGCCCTCCTTATGCCTTGGGTCTTTCGCCATCTCCTGCCAACCTCATCCCTAAGAAGCTCCAGCCCAGCAAAGAACGTGGTCTGTGGGTGTGGCCGGCAGCTGTCAGTCTGAGCGCCCGGAAGGGCTCCCCAACTCGCCCCCAGGGGCTGGTGGAAATCCCGAGCACGGTGGCGGCGGTGGCCTGGCAGTCTCACAACCGAGGGCCTCTAGGCTCTATTCAGCTCCCTCTGTCCCTAGTCTGCCCTGGGGAAAGCCAGCAGACAGACAGGGGAGGTCGTGGTGGTCTCTGGGAAGAGCGACAATCCTAACTGTAGGTCTGGAAGTCTCCTGGCCTCTGCCCCTTTTCCCTCCTTCACTTCAAATGCCCCCAGCATTTGCCACACCAACCGCCAGAGCACCCAGCAGACCCGTGCAGAGCACACCGGCAACACCTACAGCCAGCTCATCGGGCAATGGAGGAACTGAGCGGGGAAATGGCTTGATTTCCTGTGCCCGCTGCCCTGGTGGCTCCAGAAACAGGCATCCCCCACGCTGGTGCACAAGCGCCAGGGAGAAGGCCCGGGGCATTGTGCTAGGACAGGGAGTATTGCAGGGAGTAAAAGAGAAACACAGAGTTTGGTAACGCTAGGCTCGGTGAACGGGGATCCATGACAGGAGGCAAAGACGCGGAAACATGAACCATGACTGAGTTGTTCAGTTTCAAAGCATTAAACAGACCCAGGAGCAGACTCTCTCTCGCACAGGTCTGTTCACAGGGAACCAGCCGCTCCGCCAGCTGCGGGCGGGAGGGGCGGGGACAGAGGCGGTTTCTGCTTCCACTCACCTACGCAGTTATCGCAAAGGCTGCAGTGGGAAGCACGCGGGGGCCGGAAAATCTTGCAGGTGAAACAGTATTTAAGTTTCACAGTCTGGCCATTGATGATGACTTCTTTGGTTCTGGGGGGTGGGCGGTACCCCCCTGAACTGGTGCCATTTGCGATATCTGTGGAGAAAAGAACAAAAAGAGCGCATGCCCTTAACAGAGCACTTAACCTCTGCAGGTCCTCACACCCAGGGCGCCTGGGGCCCACATTCCCCAGGGCGGGGCCCACACCCAGTCCCCAGGTACCCATGCCTTTCTGGGAGACTCCCTACACCGGCACACAAATGCACTAGGGCCTGGAGCCCTGGCCATTCCACAGCCTTGGAGCAGCTCGCCAGGGCTTGGGACCTCACTTACTAATCCACGCAGCTGGGAGAGACCAGGAGCTCTGGCCAATGAGGTGCAACACTGGTGGGAACTCCCCCTGGGCCCCACCCACTGTCTCCCCTCCCTCCCCTGGGCCACCTTGGAGCCACAAACAAGCTGGGGGCCCTGAATGACGGACTACACACAGAAGGCTGCCTCAGTGGCCATACTGTTACATGGCGCCCAGGTCCTAGTGTTACATACCCGAAGGTTTGGGTTCCATTTGGTACAGCTGCATTGCCCTGTTCACCACACGCTGCCACGTACAGTGTGCACCCGCATTCCGTGAACACTACACATGGATTGTACCCCATGTATGTATTTGTTATACCCATGAATCATGTGCAACCTTATTTTTCCCTCAGAAATTTGGGCAAAAAGTGCCCATCAGACACAGCAAAATGCGGTGATTCTGTGGGTGATAGTGACGTCAGGGACAATTTCCTTCTCCTACGGAGTACGCCAAACCCAGCTCAAGAATCTCTCCATTCTGCCCACTGGCCTTTTCAGAAATACAGGTATTGGATGGGGGGGGGGGGACAGATTTAAATATGTATATTTAAAATCATCAAGTGTATATTTTAAAGATAGCTTGTTTTGTTTATTGTCTAACCTTTTCGTTTCTTAGAATCAGTTTTGTAAATGTTAAAGAAAATACAAATATGTCTGATGTCTAAGCTTCACTTCCTGTCCCTGAGTTCATATTAGAATCACCCAGGGAGCTCTGGACACCCCCCTAACGCACAGACCCTCCAGGAGGCCCAGGGAGCAGAGCCGCCTGGCGGAGTCCAGGGATGGCAAGCTGAGAGCCCCACGGGAAGGTGGAAAACACAGTTGCATCCCCATTGAGGCCCCTCCCAGCCCGAGGAGGCTGCAGAGAGAACGGGAGAGAGGGAGGGAGAGGCGGCAGCCAGCCATAGGTCAGAACAAGTCACTGGAGGAGGGCAAAGAGCGAGAGTGTCTGTGTGCACTTCAGCAGGGACTCTGCAATGGCAACGCCAGCAGGGCGGGCTCTGGTGGCGGGAGGAAATCTAGGGACCCTTCGTGGCGTTCCCTCAAAACAGCAGGTTATGTTGAGGGTGGCTGCTCCTTTTAATCCACGCACACTTAAAGGACACACAACCGGACAGCGACCACTGCCAGGTACGTTTGGTACATTTCCAAAGTGGTAGCAGTGAGTCCCATCATGCACTCAGGGCCCCCCATGAAGGTTCTGATTTCACTGGCGGGAAACAGTCTGGTGTCGGGGGTCTCAGAAGCCTCCCTGGAATGGGACTCTGTGGTAACGCTGGGGACCGCTGCATTACCGGCATTAGGACCTGTCACTCCAGTGTGGTCCGGGCAGTGCCTGCTCATCCCGGCGCTTACCCTGGGAGCTGGTTCTGGGCCCCACCCCTGAGTTAGCGCCTCAGAAATGGTATTTTCCAAGAGCTTCTGGGATTTATGCACGTGGAAGCTTGAGAACTGTGCTCAGGGGGCCGGTGGGTCCTCCCCGCCCACACATCACACACACCTTACTCTCACACTCCTCTTTGTGCTGGACCCAACCAAGCACACTCACGTGTGCAGTGAAGAGCTAAACTCAGAGAACACAGCTCCTCACATGAAGCCCATTCACTAATCACTCCCGGCCACCCACATCCACCGGGAGAGAGCGTGGTGACTGGGAACAGTGGGAGGGGTCTGCAGAGCGGCCCCTCTGCTTTACCTCCGTGAGGACCACCCTTCTACTTGGAAAGATGGGACAGCTGTGGAGCCATCCCGAGGACTCCGGGTGGCCTCGCCAAGCGGACATCCTCGCCCGGCACCCCGGCCAGCTGCCCTGTGGAACGGTGCTAAATTGGGCAGATGCCTGGAGCGGCCCTGAGCCGGCAGGGAGGAGGACCTCAGCTGCTTCTGTAAGAGCGCCGGGGGAAATAACTGGCTTTGAACCCTTCACAGATAAGGTCAGATCTCTACCGCTGCCAACGGGGTGCCGCTGAGGCCTGAATGCATCGGGACTCGGAGTCTCCCTAGCCTGATGTCAGCTGTGAAATCTACTGTGTCTGTTTAGCTCATGCAAACATGGGTGGAAAAACTAAAAAGTCAGATATACAGGTTTAAAAATAACCGTAACCAAGTAGAAAAGTCTAAAAGCTGATTTGTCAAGGAGGTATTTTACAAAGCAGGGATGACAAACTTATCGGTGCTAGAATGACTGCTAAGAAAGCCTGGGTCCGCGTGGCAGAGACTTGAAAGACAGAGGATTTGCTACGGCTGGCTCCTTAAGACAAATGCTAGTGATCTTGTACTATCAAAGTACATTTTTGAAAGATTAAACCTTTGATATAAAGTGAGCTGAAGGCTAGAACCTAACTGGCATGGCAAACGAGTGCATGTGAATTAAACCAGATCACAGAACTCCTGTGACTAAGCATTTGGAGAGCTCTTTAGGTAAAGGAAATGGAAGAACCACATCACTGGGTAACTAAAGGACCACGGAACGCAAAAAAAAAAAGTCAATTGATGTTCAGAGTATTTACTATAAAGCAGAGGCAGCAGAGGGCCCCTAAATGAGCAGAGATGTCTCATGGGGAGGAGTGAGTGAGGGGTCCGCTGGGGCGTTTGGAGAGCAGCGGGTCTCCTGGCCTCCCCATCCCAGTCTGCTCTCCTTAGGGCCCCAGAGCCACTTCCTAAGCACAAGCCTGGTGAAGATGTCCAGGCGTCTGGGGAGGCGCAAGTCTCCGAGCCGCCAGCCCCTCTCCTCTGGCTGGGCAGCCCCCCCTCCCAGAGCCCGTGCTCAGGGCACGGGGCCTCCTTGCATTCCCTAACAGACGTCTACACGTGACGCCTCCTCCACGTCTTCCCCCCCACACCCCCCGTCTGGGTAGACAGCCTGTGTCCTGCAGGGTCCGCTCAGGCCTCCCCGGGAAACACTCTGCCAGCGGAGCTGGTTGTTTCCCCCTTCGGGCTGCTCCTGTACTCAGCTCGCTGGTTTGCTCATTCAGTAGCTGTGCCAGGCCATTAGGTGCCGGTGCTGTGCCGGGGGCTGCCTGGTGCAGGGAGGGAGTGCAGGAAAGGACACAGGCTTTCCTCAGATGCAGGCAAGACCAGGACCTCTGCTGGGCTGATTTCCCTGCCTCCCCAGAGGCTGCTGGAGTGCAAGGACCATGCCTGACCCTCTGCCATGTCCACAGTGTCAAGCACACAGAGGGTCCTCAAGGATGGACTTCTAGCCCTGGCTGGTGTAGCTCAGTGGACTGAGTGTGGGCCTGTGAACCAGAGGATCAAGGTTTGATTCCCAGTCAGAGCACATGCCTGGGTTGCGGGCCAGTTCCCAGCAAGTGATGCACGAGAGGCAACCATACATTGATAGTTCTCTCCCTCCCTCCTTCCCTTCCCCTCTAAAGATAAATGAATAAAAATCTTAAAAAAAAAAAAAAAGAATGGACTTCTAAATATTAGGCCAACTGTCCCGCCCAGTTGGCAGCAATGAGATGGATGCACAGGACTGGTGTCCCTGCTCCTCCACACCCAGCTGGCAGTCACACAGCTCAGACTCCTCCCTCCCCAGAGACACCTGTGCAAGGCCCCTCTGATGCCGTCACTACTCACAACGCGTCCTCAGCTGCTGCTGGTGCAGACCTACTGTGCACAGCTGGTCGGAGCCACCAGGGAGGGCCTGGCACAGCGGGCTGCTGACTACCTCAGGGCGACCCGAGGCTGCTGTTTCCTTCACACCCTACACTCACCGGCCACCCAGACCAAAGGCGCCCAGGACAGGTGGGGGTCATGGGGCCTTAAACCCAGGGCTTCAAATACCTACCTAAGGACAAAAGAAGTCTCTCTTTCACATTCAGACTGATGCCAATGGCCTTCCTGAAATCTGTTTCTCATCCCTGGGGTTGCTGAGCACTGTGGCCCTGCGCCACAAGGCACAGAAGGTGGCCTTCCTGTCTACTCCCAAACTACAGGGATTTTGGGTTTTGGTTTTTGCTGTTGGCAACCATTCTGCCTCTGCGTCTTGGCGCTGCTCTTTGTGGTTTAAAGGCAGCTGTGGAAAAAGAATAATTGAAGCCTGCAATAGTTAATGGTTAAAAAGCACTAGAATTTTTCTGGGGGGGACCTCTAATAGTCTTACAGGTTTATATAAGTCAGTATTTCTAAAGGACATTTTCATATACAAGCGTTTTGAAAGAAAACTTAAAACAGTTGGGGGTGGTCTTTTTCTTTCCACCCCGACCACTGAGAGTTGAAACAAACAGTAGCATGGGCCTCGCTCTGGGCAGAGAGTTAGGGGGCTGGGGAGAGAGGAAGGGGGCTGCTCAGGGTGAGGTCAGGGACGCAAACTGCCTGCTGGGTAAGGTTTTCACCCAAAGAGAAGTCATGAGCCTGTTTGGAATCTGGTGTCCCCAAAGCAACCCCTTGTCATCTCTTGAGGAAACTACAAAGCTCACATTCAGAGAGACCCACGGGTCTGCCATTTCATTTGTTCCTGCCCCAAATGCAGGGACCACAGAGTCGAACTTTTGAAGCCACTGACCTTTACCATGTAGTGGTCTCCCTTAACGGTGAGTTTGCTTTCCATGGTTTCGGTTACCCACGGTCAACCGTGGTCTAAAAGTATCAAGTGGAAAATCCCAGACACAAACAGCCCACCAGTTTCCCGGCGTGTGCTGTGCTGGGTGCCCGCCCCACAGGTGCTGTGCACCTCACCTCATCTGGAGAAGGGGGGTGAGTGCAGGGCAGCAGGCTGTTTTGAGAGATGCATTCAT